ATGCCAATGCTATTACTATAATTCGACTATGTTTCTATATTGCCAATCGGAAAGCAGATATCTTGATAACTCACTATATACCGCAATTATGGAGTTATCGGAGATAAAAGATTGCTTCAATTAATAATAATTATAGAAAAATATTTTTATTAGGGCTCATATGAAACATACATGCGAATGAATGCATCTCGACAATAACCAACAGTTTTTTCATCATTTAATTTACCATACCAGTCGTTAAAGATTTTTGATCGAGATATGTTATCTTACACAAATATCTCGGTGAAATTCTATAAAATTTTCTCATTACGAAAAATGTTATTCTTTAAATAGAAACTGTGTATCTATGTACAAAATTTAGTCATTTAAACTTTAATTTGCCATAATTTTAATATTTAATTGTATTTGTTGTATAATTCAGAGATCATCTGCGCACAATAGTTGTGATTATTCCACATAGTGGAATAATCGATCTCTTTGCATTTATCGCATTTATTGCGAAAATTAGAATAGCGGCCGGACAGAAATCCGCATCAGAAATCAACGTTCCTGCCACGTTCATACGTGTAAGGCAACAACGGCAATGTGTATCGTTTTACTCCACGCCCGAGTTACATAATACAGCGATTCAACAATGCCCGGCGTGATATGCTCACGTATAAATTCATCGAACTCTCGCCTGGCAATATTAATATTGTTATCCGCTCGCGAAATATGGAGCAGTGACGTTTAATGTTCTCTGAATCTACTTCTGTATGTATCAAAGTTGTGCCACGAATTTCATAATTACGTTTACATAAATGTGTTTACACTAACTTTTTTCATGTGTAGACAATATAAACTATTATGAATTTAAAATTAAATTATTAAATAATTAACATATCTAATTTAAGCGTTAATTGTAGAAAACTATTAAAACTAATCTTTAATTAGCATATTTTATATTTTACATATTATTATGTATTATTGTTTTCATCAGTATTTTTTACATTATTATAACATGTATAAAATATATTTTTATAAAATTAGTAAAAATTACAATTGTTTATGACATTAAGAGCTATTGTAAAAGAAATATAATTCAACGTGTTTACTCGAGTGTCATCAAAAGAGTGTACGACAATGCGTCGTGATTTTAAATCAAGAATGTCAGTAAAAATACTAGATATTAATAATAAATTTTACATATCACAGTTTTGAATTTACTAAAACCAAGAAACCGTTAATTTAGTATATTTACGAACACACCGCGGATTACAGTATTAAGTCCTTGCGTCATCATGTTGTCATTCGCTTGGGGTTGCTCGAGCGGGAAGGTCGCGAAGGGAATCGCTCCGCATTACTACTTCTCAAAATCGCGATCGCGGTCAACAATAGATTATTTCTTGTGAATGATTACCGATTTAATCTACACGATTAATCAGCGCCTGCAATTAACGATTCGTAATAATAACGCGTTAAACCGCGATTATTTATTAAAAGTACCTATTTCGCGCAATTTATTCGCTTAAAATAGGAATCAAAGCAATAAAGGATGAAAATTACATATCATCTCGATAGTTATCAATTCGGCAACATAAATTTCTACATCAATAATTCGTTGAAGCACGCGTTCAGTGAGATTTATTTCATGGAAGTACATCGCGCGAACAGTCGGCAAAACGGCGCGGTCATATTTTATTCCGCGAATATCTATCTTTAATCTTAACTCGCAATTGTTATTTATTTAAATTATAATATGAGATAGTAAAACGCGCAAAGCGCTTTAAAATACAAAATTTTAATCGAGTGAAACGAGTTTGTAAAAAAAAGGTGCAAAATATGAAGTAGTCATGCATTTATCGAGATTAAAATTCGAAATGCAAAAAATTGTACATTACATATGTTAGATATTTCAACGCGTTAAATATTTCATAACGCGTAAAATCGTATTAATCGTATAACGCGTATTTTATCGTTGACTCGGCTTGGTCGCCACGCTCGGTGTTTGTTATTGTTATTTTTTCGGGCAGCGAGCAACGCGACATATCTCTCACCTTGTATCAGTCGTACGGTACCGCTCAAGTAGGTAAGTGATGGTAGGGCAATCGGTCCGTGTTATCACGTTATTACCTTCCCATAGCGACAAGTAATAAGAGAATATTCTTACGATTCGGCAAATAGAATCGCGTAGATATTTATCTTTAGCTTTAATTTATTCTGTCCTTTATTTTGTAATAGGAGAATAAAACATTTTCAATGTTCTAAAATACCGCAAAATACAAACATACCTTATTTTTCACGTATGGAATAAAAGAGAAAAATGTATAAAAGTAATTCAGGTGTAATACAGTCGCGGCGAAATTAATCACGCGATTTCCGATTTCTTTTGCAGACGCTACTCGCGTTAATTATTTCTCGAAATATTTCGAGATATTTTCGTATATTTTCGCACTCATTCATTCTTTGCAGTAGAGTTTGCTTTTTGTAAAATGAGTACTCTTATGAGTACTTTTTGTAAAATAAGGGGGTTTGCAAGGGGAGTTAGTATACTTGAGGCATAGCATTGCGACAAATCGAAAGTAATGCTTATATGGCGAACGCAACATAAGTATCATTTTGCACTGAGAGGTAGTAGATTTACTATTTCCAACGTCGTCTTACATTTTCGTTTTCGCTTTAATAAAGGAAAGTTTGCACATTGCGATTAACGTCGAAAGTCCCGTACAAAGTGTCGCGCGGCAATAAAATTCGCATTAGGGGTACCGTACGAAGTATCATGCAATCTTAATAATACCGCGATAAAATTCGCGGCGGGAGTGTCGTACAAAGTGACGCGCGATAATTAATTTCGTTCGTTTGCGAGTGATTATTGTGCCAAGACGGCCACATCGATGGACCACTGAGAGGAGGAGGAGGTCTAGGAGGCATCGAGCACCGGCGGAGCAACTTTAAGGTGAATAATTTATGATTATTTATTATTATTTTTTATTTACGGAGTAATTATTATCTTTGCGACAATCATATAGTATTGTATATCATTAAGATCTGAAAAATCTGAAACAAAAATTTATTTGGAAATTATATAATTATTTTATTAAGTAGGTATCTGTTTGAAAGACACAAATTTTGATTAATGAAATAATGACTTTTTAAATATTAATTATTTTCAGCACTATTATAATCTGGATATATTTTTGTATGTTACAGATCGGCGTAGACTACAACTCCGCTGTTGTTCATCGCGTGCCGGTAAGTCAAAATTAAATTATCTTTATTTTGAGGTAATAGAAGGAGAGAAATCTACAGAAAATTACATATACCTATATATATTCCTAGATTAAAAAGATTGAAACATTCAAATTACAAGTATGTAAAAATATTATAAATACATATTGCATTTCATAAATCTATTGCCGTAAATTGGGCTAGAATAAATTAGGCTGATATTTATATACCATATAACTCTCGAATATGTGTAATTTTTTATTGTTTTATTGTGCACATCAAAGTGAACATACGCAGAGTATGTTCACAATTTGTTCGGCATTGATATATCTAATAATAATGCAGTCTAATATCAAATAATAGTACGAGTTTCATTTACGCGGCAATGTTACAAAATGGTAGTAATTATACAGTTCCAACTTTAAAACAGATGTGAAAAAAGTGGACGAATGAGAGTCGGTAGACATTCTATGAGAAAATATGAGAGACGGCTGCCCTCAGGCATCTCTCTGATTCAACAAAAATATTTTCAACAAAAATTTGGCAAAAATATGTTACCACAGTTCGTGGATTACGCATTCTCTGTCGTTTGCACAGATGACATGTTAGCTACATGTTTTCATTATTTACGCGTAGATGTAGAATATTATAGATAACGCATAAACACCCAATCCCTGTTCTATATACGCGCTGGTTTTCTCGTGCGCCTCTCTTTTGCTTCGGCAATTCTCTCGCGTCCGCGGTTGCAACCGCAATTCTCGCGCTATATTTCTCTCCGTCGCTGTGGGAGTGCGTCGCGATTTATTGGCCCGAGTGCTGTCCGTACTTTCCGCCGGTAAAATCTAATTGGAAAACCATTGCGTGCACGAGGGCCTCGTTGGCCGAACTCGCGTCGTGGACCGCGAAAACCGTGTGGCCGTATAAAGAATTTAGTTGTTTTTTTCCCCCTTTCAATTCGACCTCAAAAACATTGATTCTGTGACACTTACTTTTTCACCGCGATAGCTGTACGCATGTACGCTTTGCGCGGTTCGATTATCGCGTAATGGATTGATCGCACGCCTCTTCTCTTCTCGTTGTTTTTCTATCAATGCACTGAGACACGTGCGTAATCGCCGCACTCGAATTGCAGAATTTCAATGAATAAATTTAAGCTCGGTTTCAAATGTCGCGATAAATGGCGGAATGATACTTTATCACTGCTCGCATCACTAATAATTGCGACGATTGCGACAATCGCGACTATTAATGAACTTTAGCCAAGTCTCTGTGCGGTGTATATTCATATAGTTACGCGTGACGTATCTTGAAAATATCATCAATATTTTTGCTATTAAAAAGAATCGTAATAAAACTAATAAAAAAGATATTCATTAATGATATAATAGTCATAATAATTTTATGAATAATAAAAAAATAAACCGCATAACAATCTTCGCGATTGCGCTAGAACAGAAAAAAATATTGCACGATTTAAAACTAGAATACTTTGCAAAGCTAGGTAAATGCTTTACTTGTGCTCTAATTCGGATTGAGTAAAGCTGTTAGCTGTGCTTTAGTTCATGCTTGAATAAAGGTTTTAACAGCTTTTTTAACTCGCTTCGAAAACGTTGATTTTGCAACGACTACTCTTTCTCTGCTGACGGCACACGTATGTACATGTACGCTCGTAGCTCGAAATATCGCATAGTGAATTGGACTTTTCTCTTCTCACCTCTTTTTTTTTCTCTATACGATGGCACGTAATCGACGAGACCACTGTCGCACGAGACCACTGTCGCACGAGACCACTATCGCACGAGACCACTGTCGCGATAAATTCAAAGTTGTCTTTAAAACGTTACATTAACAAGTAAAAAAGTGAAAATATTCCTTTCGAAAAAAATCACATTTAGAGAAATTTGCAACCCTTTGAATTCACCCAAAATTTTGATATAAAAAAATTATTAAATTCTATTTCACATAATAAAAATAATTGTACAACTCTTTTATATAAATGTGCGGTAATGAAAAGTAGATTACTAAACTTTGCTGTAACAAGCCATGCTAGTGGAAATAATATCTTTTGCATTAATAAGCGTGGTAAAGGGTGAAACGTTCAGAAAGCTGCACACGTACTCTGACCTGTTTTCAAAATAATATTGAAATTTATCATGTTTGATTTATCATGTCGGCTTTATATACAGCGGCACACCGCTGATATTGTTGCGTTTAGAATGCAATGATAATGGTTGATTGACGTTTTATACCTGCCTAGATTGCAAAGCGAAATGTGGGCTATTGTCCTCATTTATACACAATAATTCTCATATCTAACAACCATTTTGACACGGGGAAATGCAGAGTTTTAATGGTGCGAACAATGCTATTTGAACATATCGATTAGATACAGATAGAAATCTTGAGTTAGGGCAAACCGCAGTAGTTGCGATAAAGTTTAAGATTAAAAGCGGGAGAATTTTTACGCGCGCGCGCATATCTCATAATTTACAGTTGCTTTTTATTAAATACTAAATCAGCCGATTATATTGTACATTTACGCCGCAGTGTTCCTGCATTTATAACACGCGGCAGTCGCGGTTATATCGCAAGAATGTATATTCCGCGCCAATGTGCGCTAACGCGCTCCATCGCGTATTTATTAAGCGTAAAATAGACGGCGGTTATAATTTCTGTCGCCGAATGAATAATGACATTACCTGGGTAGTATTTCGAGTATATGATAATTTAGTTTAACTGCTCTGCACGACATACTTCTTTGATGTAGCGCTGTCATATATTTTGCCGTGCCTACTTTGTCAAATTAATTTCTGCATACGAGACACACTGACGTACAACCCAAAACGTAGTATCCCGTATAAATGCTTTTATGCTCACAATATAGCTTTTCTATTTCGTAAAATGCAAGCTTCGAAACGCGTAAAATGCAAGTTTCGGAAGTATATTTGCTCGTAGCATCTACGCAAAATAAATGTATTCCGCATTTGTGTGTCGCAATAGAAAAGGTGTACGGAAAAAGGATGCCGTTTTTTTTTCTAGAATAAAATGTTGCACTGACGGATTTCAAATATTGAACGGCAAAACATTAAAACGTGTTATAGAAAAACGAGTGACATCGCCATTTGTCGATATTTTATCGTAAAATTATTTGTGCTCATTTTAACGCGTAAAAATATATAATAAAATATCCGATGTAGTCGGGTGTATCTATGAAAAGTTTTTTGTCTACCGTTTTCTAGAATAAATTAGAAATTTTAATTATTAATATTTTATTATGCAATGATAAAATATTAATAATTTTTAAGAAACGCGCTCGAGCAAAAGACAAAAATAACAAAAAATGATATCTCAAAGACCGAATGTGCATATACAGCACCCATTTTAATTGCTGGCTTTGTATATTTTAACAAACCTTTAATTTTCGCTATCCAGCAGCTATTTCTTCTTCATGCATGCTAGATACACGCTGCAAATATTCGTCTGCATATGCAGCACGCAATCTGCCATGCGCTTTGCGCATGTTATGACGTGAATGCTTTCGTTTCATCGATATTGACTGCGAAACGATTGTCGTTTTACTGTTTAAAACGTGCCGGAAAATACACTTTCAAGTTAGAAATGTGTGATAATAACAAAAATAAAGTTACAAATATATCGTATGTGTTGAATGTTTCCTATATTGCTATCAAAAATTTACAGTTGATTTTTTCATAAGAAAAATTTAGAGATGTCAGTCAATTTCATATTATCAATTTATAACGTAAGATATTTGTAACGTAAGATACATCTACGAAAAGGAAGCAGTCGACGAACTTTAGGAGCGATCTAAACTTAAAGATACTTAACGTGAATTTCGTCGCTGTCTTCTTGAATTTTAACATTTGCACGTTAGGTGCGAACGTAAAACTTCACCGAAAAGTAGTGCGAACTTTTAACAGGTACGGAACTATAACGGAACTTGCGGCTTGAAATAGTCTGATCGCATGTGCAAAACTAGTGAAATTAGAAGCACGAGTTCTAATGATTCCAATTAGAGATAGTTTACAGAAATGGTAGAGTCCTACATTTTTTTCAACTTTATGGCATCACGTAGGCAGACGAATATTATCAGCTTTAATGGTATTTTATTTTGAGAGACTGCTTCACATTTTATTCCTAATATTTATAGTAATTAATGGTAGCTTCGTAAAAATATATTACCTCTCAAATAAATTGACAAATATTTATTTGATTCTTAGATAAAACGATTCAGTAGCAAAAAGTCTCCACGTGTGTTTTTTGATGTCGAAACATTCGCTTTAATGCATTACTTACCTCAACTTTTGCTCCGAGATCTCCAAACACTGCGATCGGTGGCATCTCCTTCGGGACATATCGAAAAAATTCCGAGCCCTTATACCATTTGACAGTGTAAAGCATGTCCGATTGTAGATCGTATCTGCAGGACATGTTGACTGTCGTGCCAGTTGCCACTGCCAATGGAATGTCGATCGAGACATTGCTCAGTCCATGAACGCCTGGACATAAAAGGAAATAAATTGCATTTAAGTATCAGAAATTCAGCAGAGCTTTGTGCTATTTTTATGAGTAATTATTTTTTACTATTTTACTTGAAATTTAATATGATTATTTCTAATGCTTGATACAATTTCGCAGAAAATGTATTTTGTATAAAAGTACAAGAAGGATAAAATATAAATCTGCATGAATCCATTGTATGAGTTTTAAGCTTTATGAGATTCACATAAAAGCTTCTTCATAAGTTTTATGAAAACATACATAAAATATATTTTTGAAAAATTCAATATATACGGTGTATTAACATGAACAAAACAATTTTATTATCAGATATTTTGACATACTTGCATCAACTATCAAATATTAATTTTTAATATCAATTTTTTTAACTACGTTTCACTCTTTATATAAAATATTGTGTGCCGTTCAAATATCTTTTATATGAAAATTTAATTAAAAACGATAAATAACGATAGATAACGTTCTTCCTTATAAATTTTCCTGAGGCTGTAGTTGCAAAAAGTTATTTATTTTTAATTATATAGAATTTGGAATCTATTGATGCTTCTATCTCTGTTAAGAAAAAAATCAACTAAAAATTTCAAAGAATCTGTTATAAAATTAAAACTTGACGGCTTTATTTCGAAATGTATATTGTATTGAAAATATAATTGAATTACTCGCCATACAAATTCTTGCACTGTTACTATTTTCTCGTACGGCTATGTATTTCACTCTGCTTTCACACTTGAATACTTAACTGTCCTTTAGAATTCCAATTAAAGTCAGTGACATTTATCATCGTTCTTTGTTGCGCGAGAAACGCCTAACTCGGCGGTGAATAAAAAGCTGACCGAACTTGTAGGTGAACAATATCTCATCATATCTTGACAGCACAGTTACGTTTTTATTAATTGATTAAAAAAATAATTGCTCTGCATTCAAACTAAATGTCATGCAAGAATTTTAATCCTTCTGCTCACCAATCTTCATTTTAACTCGTGCAACTTAATGATAATATAATAATCTGTTATTAAAATCTGCGATGACTATCTTTCTACACTATGTTTTATACCAAAAATTATTTCTTGAAAAGAATTAAATTACTATTTAATTAACAATTTACTTGCATGATGGCACAACGAGATAACGGTTGCCGTAGTTTCACTTAAAACTCGTCTATATCATTGATTATGTTTATTCGCGAAAAATACAAGTTTTATCTTCTCTATGCAGATAATATTCCATCGAAAAGTTGCATTTTCCCTTAAAAAATTGCAGATCAAATAAGATATTAAAAATTTCGAAGAATTTCAGAGAATCAACTTTGTGTTTTAGAGGTAAAATCTTTTCGTTGAACAAAAGGCTACTTCGTTCTTTTTTCTGACGAAAAAAGCAAGTTGCGCGAGATGCTTATCTTATAATAACTTAAACGAACAAGTGCTTAAACTTTTCGTGTAATCCTGGCAACGCCATCGTCAACCCGCCGCTCCGAGGATTACAACGAGCGAACGAGAGGGCGACTTGCCAGAAAACGCCGGAAAAGATCGCGAAAAATAACATCACGGTCGTCAACTTTTAAGCATCCATTTGCGCACTTGCTTAGATCGAATTTGGAACTTATTACTACTCCGGAGCACTTTGTTGTTGTCATGCATTATTCATCGAAAATTGGGGCAGACGCTGCATCTTAAACAAGTTGTATAATAAAGCCTTCATCGAGAATTAATAGGGTTTCCAAATTGAAAAAAAGACTGATCTAAAAATAAAGATCTGTGTTGAATCTCAGTGGGAAATTTATTTATTTGTACAATTTGAGAGAGCTATTTTGCTAGAAAATTTAAGATAATCCGCAATTAACTGGGTGGTCTATTACAACTTAATTAATATGTATGTAAAGTCCACGCTGCGGGCGTTTAGCGGTACAAAGCGGTATCAAACATGTTAAGGGTATGTCAGCACACTGCGACCGAAAAGCGTTATACACCGAAGTGCTTGCCAACGCGTGTTAGCGACGCTCCGGTAAATTTCCGGTTCTAATCAGTAACATCGCGAGAGATCTGCGCGGTCCGTCATTGTTCCGGCTTAAACGAAGAAAAATCGGGCTCGGGGAGATTGTATATTTCGCACGAGCGCGCGAGTTTGCGAGATCAGCGAGCGTGCCGTGGACTCGCAATAGCGGACTAACGCGAAAGTTTGGTCATTAATTAACCGTTTTTCGGCGGCTCCTCCTCTAATTAATTATTTATGACTTGATCCTATAGTCATTGTGCTGGTAGAGTAATTAAATGATAATTAATCCAAAAAGTAATTAATCGGGAAATTGGGAAGTGAAGAGAGGGAGAGGGAAGGTCGCGAAGATGCGGTCGTTGCTCTCGCTTGTGGCATTTATGTGCAACTATATATTGTATTATACAGCATCGAAATTTATAAATTATGATTATAATGTTTCGTAAATGAGATTAATAAATCATTCGATACCATGCAAGTTGAATGAATTGATAGCATTGTTAGTAATTTACATAATTACAATTTTCAAATTATAGCAATAATTATTTTGCACGTTATTACAAAACGTATTTCAATAATATCTAAATAACTTAGTTGATGCGAGACATAACGATCACGTATGCGCGTGCATTGGTCGCTTTTAATAAGCATTGAGGCAACATATAGAAAAAGAATGAATATCACGATAAGCGAGAGCAATCTGCCGTATCCCTCTTTCTTGCGTGCGGCTGCTTTTAATTACTGCATTATAATTGGCGTCATTAAGCACGTTCCCATTTCCTCTGACAGAATATCTTCGTCTCTCGGTAAAGCGAAAGTTTTTCACTCATAGAGAGACGCGCGCGTGTGCGCGCGCGTGGCTCTTTATCACTAATCACCGCGCAGTTTTGAACTTGGTCCGATGTATTAGAGGAGTCTGTGCGTAATTAGAACCGGTAATTGGAACGCTTCTCCTCGAAGTTTCAACGTTGGTCTACGTATAATCAGTTGTTTGGTCTTAACGCAGTGCGGGTGCAACGGAACGCGCATCTCACAGATCGCTGCAGCGAGATTTAAATACCGAGCGTTCACTAATCACCTCGCTAATCCTTAATTACCGCCCCTCGCGAGGAGCGCGATTGTTATTCGCGTCGCGGCTCGCCGTGAAGCGCGCCTTCCGTTTTTGGAAGGCGAAACCTTCCCATAAATAACGGCAAACCCCGGGACAATGGCGTCGCATAAACTCGCTACGTATATATCAGACTCGTCTTAAATTATCGCGGGAATAATAGAGCGCGCGCGAGCGCGGATGTACGCTCAAGCAGATTCGGAATCGCCCTTTGTGGCCGGTTTGCATCCTCCCTCATGAATTTATAAATCGCGGCGATAGGTAGGTAGGAACAGCGGAGCGTGGCGAACCGCACGCACCGAATATTCCATAATCAATCGTGAAGCAAGGCAACAGATTGGACGCGTAGCGTTAATCAGCTAATAAGAGCCGCAATAACTCAGTGGCCAGAGCAAAGTATATGTTTGCTACGCCTCGTGCGGCACCTATCATTATACATTGTATAATGCGTATGCAGTCAGTCAACTGCATAAAATACGCGCGGAAATAAAACGAATCAAATGTGTTGCAAACGTGATAACGGTATAGAAAATAAAAACTACAAATTTTTATAACGTCATGATTTACTACACTCGTGACAAACTATAAAAATATATTACACTGTTAATAATGCAAATTAGCGGATACATCATCATAAATGCGTATAAAATAATCCCCGCGCTACAATAATGCGAAATAAAAAAATTAATAAGTACGCGTTTAAGTTATGATAAAAAATTCGAAATTATTATACCGCGACGGTAAAATCAAAACGCGGTTATTACCAACGCGCACACAACCGTGCTCGTTGAAAAGTATACGGGACTTGTATTCGCGAGGTAATCCGAAACTCTTAATTGCAGCGTAATTACTTATACGTTCGCCGGTGTGCGAATGAAGAGTTCGCGAGAAGCCTTTTGCGCATTATGCATATCCACGGCCAGATACCTTACGGCCATGAAGCCGGAAAAGCCAAAGGCGTAAAGAGCCCGTGCTCTGAAATGAGATCCTTTTCTTCCTTCGAAACTCAACTAAATGAAAAACCCATCCCGACAAGAGAACGTCGGCCATAGAAGCTTTTATTGTTTCATGAAAGATGAGAGGCAGAGGGGAAAGAAGAAAAGATATTGAAAATACGCATTGCAAAACCTTTTACTCGGCGAGCTCTCACCTATCGACTCGCATATCAGATGAATAAAAACGAACTTTTCTACTTTTTAGAACTTATTTAACAAGCCGGAGCCGTATTCCAGAATTTATATGAGCTCAATCGAAATTCACAGCGAGAAATTTTCTTTTATTATTCACGAAAAACTGTAGAATTCGCAATGAATCTAAAGTTGCACTAATGAATCTGTTAATATATAATGCAGACACTTTACCTTGCATCAAGATATCACTCTACGAGAAGGTACGGTAACTAAAGGCTATATGAAAGATTATGATTGCACCTCGAGGCACCATCAAGCGCTCCTTTCTTAGAGCAAAGGTTGCCTTTAAGGCAATGTAAAGTTCCATTACGAAGAACGTTCCTCACATTCGCCTTCAAAGTCGCGTAAATCGCTAGCTCATGACGATTCTGTTGTACTGCGATCCGCTGCAATCCACTTGCGATCGATACATACGATACGGTGCAAACTTTTAATCCCAGAAATGGAAGCGTTACGATCAAGATAAGGTCGATTGTATCGAATGCCGTATCGAAAGGATTTAATTTTCAAAGGAAAGCAGAAATATACGATTTGTTTAATATTGTAGACCGATCGAATCTTGAAATTTTTTAAATTAAGCAGAGATTCTCTAAGAAACTCAACAGCGAAAGTTCTCTAAATAACAGATCGGAGGATCATCAGTCATGATTGACAAGAAAGAAGTCGAACGGCGAAAAGCGGTACAGATCCT